ATAATATAGTAAGGCATAAAAATGTGTAAAAAACATCATAGTATAGTAAGGCATAGAATATCATAGTATAGTAAGGCATAAAACGTCAAAAAACGTCATAATATAGTAAGGCATAAAAATGTAAAAAAAACATCACAGTATAGTAAGGCATAAAAACGACATAGTATAGTAAGGCATAAAACGTCAAAAAACGTCATAGTATAGTAAGGCATAAAATGTCAAAAAAAGTCATAGTATAGTAAGACATAAAAACGACATAGTATAGTAAGGCATAAAAATTCCATAGTATAGTAAGTCATAAAACCTCAAAAAAACGTCAATTACATTAAGGCATGAAAACGAAAAAAAGGTCATAGTATAGTAAGGCATAAAATGTCATGGTATAGTAAGGCATAAAACGTCAAATAATGTCATAGTATAGTAAGGCATAAAATGTCAAAAAACATCATAATATAGTAAGGCATAAAAATGTGAAAAAAAGGTCATAGTATAGTAAGGCATAGAATATCATAGTATAGTAAGGCATAAAACGTCAAAAAACGTCATAATATAGTAAGGCATGAAAATGTAAAAAAAACATCGTAGTATAGTAAGGCAAAAAATGTCATAGTATAGTAAGGCATAAAACGTCAAAAAACGTCATAGTATAGTAAGGCATAAAATGTCAAAAAAAGTCATAATATAGTAAGGCATAAAAACGACATAGTATAGTAAGGCATAAAATGTCAAAAAAAGTCATAATATAGTAAGGCATAAAAACGACATAGTATAGTAAGGCATAAAATATCACAGTATAGTAAGGCATAAAACATCAAAAAACGTCATAGTATAGTAAGGCATAAAACATCAAAAAACGTCATAGTATAGTAAGGCATAACAACGACATAGTATAGTAAGGCATAAAAATTCCATAGTATAGTAAGTCATAAAACGTCAAAAAACGTCAACTACATTAAGGCATGAAAACGTAAAAAAAGGTTATAGTATAGTAAGGCATAAAATGTCATAGTATAGTAAAGCTTAAAATGTAAAAAAATGTCATAGTATAGTAAGTCATAAAACGTCAAAAAACGTCATAATATAGTAAGGCATAAAAATGTGAAAAAAAGGTCATAGTATAGTAAGGCATGAAAATGTAAAAAAAACATCGTAGTATAGTAAGGCAAAAAATGTCATAGTATAGTAAGGCATAAAACGTCAAAAAACGTCATAATATAGTAAGGCATAAAAACGACATAGTATAGTAAGGCATAAAATGTCAAAAAAAAGTCATAGTATAGTAAGACATAAAAACGACATAGTACAGTAAGGCATAAAATGTCATAATATAGTAAGGCATAAAAATGTAAAAAAAACAAAAATCATAGTATAGTAAGGCATAAAATATCAAAAAATGTCATAGTAATTGTAAGGCATAAAATGTCATAGTATAGTAAGGCATAAAATGTAAAAAAATGTCATACAATAGTAAGGAATAAAAATGTCAAATAATATCATAGTATAGTAAGGCATAAAACGTCAAAAAATGTCATAGTATAGTAAGGCATAAAATGTCATAGTATAGTAAGGAATAAAAATGGCAAATAATATCATAGTATAGTAAGGAATAAAAATGGCAAATAATATCATAGTATAGTAAGGAATAAAAATGGCAAATAATATCATAGTATAGTAAGGAATAAAAATGGCAAATAATATCATAGTATAGTAAGACATAAATACGTCGTAGTATAGTAAGGCATAAAATGTCATGGTATAGTAAGTCATAAAACGTCAAAAAACGTGATAATATAGTAAGGCATAAAAATGTAAAAAAAAACATCATAGTATAGTAAGGCATGAAATGTCAAATAATGTCATAGTATAGTAAGGCATAAAATGTCATACAATAGTAAGGCATAAAAACATCAAAAAACGTCATACTACAGTAAGGCATAAAACATAAAAATACGTCATACTACAGTAAGGCATAAAAACATCAAGTAATGTCATAGTATAGTATGTCATAAAATGTCATAGTATAGTAAGTCATAAAACGTCATAGTATTGTAGGGCATAAAATGTCAAAAAATGTCATAGTATAGTGAAGCATAAAAATGCCATAGTATAGTAAGGCATAAAATGTCAGTATAGTAAGGCATAAAATGTAAAAAAAAATGTCATACAATAGTAAGGCATAAAAACATCAAATAATGTCATAGTATAGTAAGTCATAAAACGTCAAAAAACGTTATACTACAGTAAGGCATAAAACATAAAAAAACGTCATACTACAGTAAGGCATAAAAACATCAAGTAATGTCATAGTATAGTATGTCATAAAACGTCATAGTATAGTAAGGCATAAAATGTCAAAAAACGTCATAGTATAGTAAGGCATAAATCGTCAAAAAATGTCATAGTATAGTGAGGCATAAAAATGCCATAGTATAGTAAGGCAAAAAACGTCATACTACAGTAAGGCATGAAAACGTAAAAAAATGTCATAGTATAGTAAGTATAATATAGTATAGTAAGTAGTATAGTAAGTCATAAAACGTCAAAAAACGTCATACTACAGTAAGGCATGAAAACGTAAAAAATCGTCATAGTATAGTAAGGCATAAAACATAGTAGTATAGTAAGGCATAAAATGTCATAGTATAGTAAGGCATAAACTGTCAAAAAAAGTCACAGTATAGTAAGGCATAAACTGTCAAAAAAAGTCACAGTATAGTAAGGCATAAAACGTTATACTTTAGTAAGGCATAAAAACGTCAAATAACGTCGTAGTATACGAAGATATAAAACTTCAAAAACCGTCATAGTACAGTAAGGTATAAAACGTCAAAAAATGTCATAGTATAGTAAGGCATAAAAACGCCATAGTATAATAAGGCATAAAAACGTCAAATAACGTCATAGGCATAAAACATCAAAAAACGTCATAGTATAGTAAGGCATAAAAACGCCATAGTATAATAAGGCAGAAAACGTCAAAAAACATCACAGTTCAGTAATGTATAAAATGTCAATTAATGTCATAGTTATAGTAAGGCATAAAACGTCAAAAAACATCATAGTATAGTAGGCATAAAACGTCAAAATACGTCATGCTATAGTATGGTATGAAATATCTTAGTATAGTAAGGCATAAAAACGCTAAATAACGTCATAGTATAGTAAGGCATAAAAGGTCAAATAACGTCATAGTATAGTAAGGCAAAAAAACGTAAAAATGTCACATTATTGTAAGGGGAAAAATGTGATTAAGACGTCATAGTATAGTAAGGTATAAATACGTTATACTGTACTAAGGCATAGAATTTCATGAAACTGTCATTTTTTAGCAAGGCATTAAATATCATAAAAACCTTATAGCATAGTATAGCATAAAACGTCATAGTATAGTAATGTACAAAAAAGTTATAGTATAGTAAGAGTCAATCAGAATCAGAATCAGAATCAGAATCTGGTTTATTGTCATGTAGGTTTTCAACATACACAGAATTTATTTTGGTGTTTTGATGCATATCAACAGACATAGTAAGAAAAAAAGAAACACAAACAGAGATGAAACAAGAAAGTACTGCAGTTCTGATAGCTTAAATATAAACAAGAAAATTTAACAATACACATAAAATATTCACAATAAATACAGAAAAGAATAAATAGAACAATATAAATATATACAACACAAACATGTACACTGTGCAAAATGATTGAGGTTGGTGTGTATGTGCAATAGTTCACAGGGGGAATGTGCAATGGTTCAAGGGTGTGGGGGTTGGGGGGCATAGAAGTTCACCATCATTGTCCTTTGCAAGTTAAACTTTTTCAACTGCCAAAGGAGCGTCCTCTGCTGGGCTTTCTTGGTGAGGGAGCTGGTGTTCCCACTTGAGGTCCTGTGTGACAGTGGTGCCCAGAAAGCAGAAGTACTCCACGGTGTCCATGGAGGAGTCACACAGGGTGATAGGGGTGGGTGGGGCTGGGTTCTTTCTGAAGTCCACTATGACCGCCACAATCTGAAGAGCATTCAGCCCCAGATTGTTCTGCCTGAACCAGGTCACCAGATGGTCAATCTCCCACTTGTAGGCAGAGTTATCCCCCATCAGAGATAAGTCGAATGAGGGTGGTGTCATCTGCAAACTTCAGGAGCTTGACTTAAAGATGACTACAGGTGCAGATGTTGGTGTACAGGGAGAAGAGCAGAGGAGAAAAGATGCAGCCTTGGTACGATCTGGTGCTGATGGTCTGGGAGTCAGGGATATGTTTCCCCAGATTGATGTGCTGACTCAGACAGGAAGTCAGTGATCCCCCTGCAGGTGGAGTCAGGCCCGCTCAGCTTGGGGAGGTTAACCTGCAAAATTAATATGTTGTAATATAGTAAGGCATAAAAATGTCATAGTATAGTAAGGCTTGAAAAGGGTAATAGTATAGTAAGGCATTAAAAGATCATAATATGGGGTGCCTCTGTGGCTTACCTGGTAGAGCGCGTACCACATGGGATTAGTCCTAACCACAGTGGCCATGGGTTGGAATCTGACCTGTGGCCCTTTGCTGCCCAAAGATGAAAGAAAGAAAAGAAAAAAACAAAAAAAAAACGTCATGCTATAGTAAGGTATAAAAACAAAGTTTTTATTACTAAAATGTCATAAAACATCATAGTATAGTAAGGCAAAAAATGTCATAAAAAATCATAGTATAGTAAGGCATAAAAACGTTATAGTATAGTAAGGCATTAGGGTCGCCAATAAACCTAATGTGCACGTTGGTCTGTGGGAGTAAGCATATGCAAACCTATGCCCTTGCATCTGAGTAGGATGAAGAGTGGAGCAGGTCCCTTTTGTTATCACTGTTTGCTCAGCACCAGCTGCACCTGCAACATGCACCTGTACAGAAACTAGGAAAAGAATACAATCGTCTGTATTATTTGAAATATAATAAACCTTTAACAGATTACCTGCTCACTCCTGAATCTTTGAAATGAGTGTGGCTGTGTATTATCGCTGCTTTTACAGGTATGTGGTTTTCACATCCAAACACCATGAAGGATTCACAAACTGGCCCTCAGCAGGCTCCTGGAACTGGAACTCAGTGGATGTCGGTCCTCACCGGGACCTGGTGGGAGAGCTGGCTGCAGCTGTCAGGAAGCAGTGAGTAGATAAGGGGGATGCTGCATCCATGTTCACTCAGAATTTTCCATCCTTTCCATATAACATGTCATAGTTTGGTAAATGCACATGAGGCTAGAGAAAAGGCCAATAATGTTGAATATGTCATGAATTTTAAGATATGATGTGATGAAGGATTGATCCCCATAAAGAAATTATTCAGGAATCAGCCCATCTTCAGAACAGGATTCTTGATAATACGATTTAAAGAAAAAGAGCACTTAATATCTACATAAACTCTATAACAGAGTGGGAGTTGAGACCTTCACCAGTGCATTACAAAAGTAGTTCACTAGTTCACTAATAATTTTCTGTCACCAGATCACTGCATTTGGGTCTTTACCACTCTCTGTATGAATGGTACCATCCCCTTTTCTTGATGGATCAAGCCTCCGGCTTCAAGACTCAATATTTTGTTGCCCGTAAGACTCTTCCTGAGCTGGTGGACCTTGTGATGGCGTACAAACCTGATCTGATCTGGTCTGATGGGGACTGGGCAGCTCCGGATACGTACTGGAACTCCACCCAGTTTCTTTCTTGGCTCTACAATGACAGCCCAGTCAAGGTGAAAGACATTTTGCATATATCCATTACATGACGTCTGGCATGATGTGGGTTTATTCTTAATGCTAAAACTTTCTAATCATAGTGGTCAAATAGCATCTTTGAAAATGTGAGGAAATAAGTAATTGAAAAAGCACTAAATCTAAATCATGCGTGAGAATAAATCAAATGTGAATGGTTTATAGTATGGTGGTTTACTCTTATGACATGTTTCTTCAGGATGTGGTGGTCACCAACGACAGGTGGGGTAATGGCTGCTATTGCAAACATGGAGGCTACTACAACTGTGCTGACAGGTACACACCAGGTAAACTTCCAGACCACAAGTGGGAGAAATGCCAGTCCATCGACACCCGTTCCTGGGGCTACAGAAGAGACATGAAGCTTAGTGAACTCTTGGACCTGCCTTCCATCATAAAGGTGAAAGGTCACAGTAGGTCGTCACCTACACCTGATTGATGTCCAGTTATTTTGTGATTAGTTGTTTGGTGATCTTGCGTTAATCAAACACTTTCTTTCCTCAGGACATGGTGAATGTAGTGGCAATGGGTGGCAACTACCTACTGAACATTGGGCCCATGTCAGATGGTATGATTGCCCCAGTGTTTGAGGAAAGGCTGAGGGGACTTGGTGCCTGGTTGGGGATAAATGGGGAGGCTATCTATGCTTCCAAACCCTGGAGGATCCAGACTGAGAACAGCACTGTCCAAGTCTGGTGGGATTGAGAATTTCAAGCCATTTTCCATTTTATTGTTATGTAAAATCCTGTTGTAGTATGGCTTTAACCACTGTTTGCTCCTATTATAGGTACACTGCTAAAAACAGCACAGTTTATGCCATAATCCTTGGTTGGCCACCCAGACAGCTACTTAAGCTTACAACACCAAGGATATCTGGGGCAACAAAAGTAATCCTTACACTATATACCAGTTAAATTCAATTTAACATCATTTGTCATGAACTTTAAACTATCATCTTTCACATCCACAGGTGACACTTTTGGACTATCCTAACATACCACTGAAGTGGGCACCAGTGACACAAACATCTGGACTCATGATTCTTATGCCTGCTATGCCAGTATCTCCTGGAAATGCCTGGACTCTGAAACTGGAGGGTGTAGCTTAACATCAGCGTGGCAACAAAAGGAGCCTTAAAGTTTTACCTCAGTTACTCGTTTGACAAAATATACAGTTAATGTGTGTGTGATTGTAGATGAATTTATCGATAAGGTTTGGGTGCTGGTGTCAAAAAAGTTATTTCTTAATAATCTCAATAATTCTCTTAATGCTTCCTATGCTTCCTTGAGAAATGAAAAGAAACGTAGTGTTTCAGATGGGTATGTTGCCTCACGATTGCAGTAATTTTTTATATGTTTTTATAGTGAATTTACAATAAGTACAACACAATAAACAATAAATGTATAGTATAGGCTACTGTCAGCGTATGATATGGACATTTTGCATGTGAATGTTAATGCCATAGTGTGAAACATCAAAGACTGGAAAAGTGATAATTTTCCTCCAAAATTAAAGAGCAACTGTACATTAAACATAAATTACTTTTGTTTTTAGTTTGTATACGGTATATGATCATAACTACACGATACATATTTCTGGTGGAAAAAGTAGAAATAGTCGAAGAAGAAATCACGAAGCCTACTGAAGGGGGCGACAGAGAGCCTTCGTTGAGTCTTAAGTGCTGAAACACCACAAAAGAAGAACCAGTATTTTTATTTTTTTTTTTTAAAAACGACTTTGTTTTGTTTCCAGCAGAAAGCGAGTATCTCCGGGTGCTCCTTAAAAATTTCTGAAGCTGCATTTCTGTCGGAAGAAACGGTGACACATGGGGAAGTCGCGAGATTTAAGTGAGTTTGAGCGGGGTATGATCGTGGGAGCGAGAAGCGCCGGCTGCAGCATCTCAGAAACAGTGAAGCGACTGGGATTTTCCAAGACTGCGGTGTCTCGAGTTTACCGGGAATGGTGCGAGAAGCGGAAAACCTCCAGTCACCGGGGGTCCTGCGGGAGAAAACGCCTCGTCGACGAGAACGGTGAGAAGAGGATGGAGAAAGTGGTGGAAGCTAACAGCCAGGCTACGAGTGAGCAGATCCAGGCTCTGTACAACAGCAGCGCGCAGGAGAAGCCCATCTCACTGGCAACTACCCGCCGGACCTTGAAGCGGCTGGGTTACAGCCGCAGGACTCAGCGGCGGGATTCACTAATCGTGGCCGGGCTGGAGGCATTAGCTGTGTACGCATCCTGTCCTCAACAGCTTGAGACCTCCAAGGATTTTGTGTGCAGGGACGAGAATGAGACAGACTCAAAGATTAAGTCGTCCACGGAGGTTGACTGCAGCAATTAGAATCAACCGCAACCGTGGATGTAGTAATAGAAGTGGATGCCTTCTTCCGATATGACGCCCGGTTATTTCCAAATAAAGTTTCTTTGTTAACAGAACAATATGTACATACAGAGTGATGTACCAACAGAACATGTGAATATACGTTCACCGATGCCTTCATTAGGAACACCATACTGATACTGGATAGAGCCTTTCTTTCAAAACAGCCTCAGTTCTTTATCTACATGGACTAAAGATGTTGGAAACACTCCTCTGAGATTCTGCTCCATGTTGACATGATTGTATCACATAATTTCTGCAGATTTGTCAGATGCTAATTCATGCTGCTAATCTCCTGTTAGACCACATCCCATAGTTAGTCTACTGGATTCAGATCTGGTGACTGAACTACACTGAACTCATTTGTCATGTTCATGAAACCAGTTTGTGACATGGTGCATTATCATGTTGGATGTTGCCATTAAAAGAGGGTAAAATGTCCATTAAGGGATGCACATGGTCAGCAACAATACTCAGATAGGCTGTGGAATTGAAACAATGATTGGTTGGTATTTAGGAGCCCAAAGTGTGTCAAGAAAACATTCCCCACACCATTACACCACCACCAACAGCCTATACTGTTGACACAAGGCAGGTTGGCTCCATGGATTCATGTTGTTGACACCGTATCCTCCATCTATAAAACTGTTGCTCACTGGATTTTAGTTTTTGGCATCATGCTGAGTAAAAATTCTAGAGACTTTTGTGTGTGAAAATCCCTGGAGATCAGTAGTTTCAGAAATACTCAAACCAGCACCAACAATCACACCACAGTCAGTTCTTGAGATCACATTTCTTTTCCACATGTTGATGTTTGATGGGAACATTAACTGGAGCTCATGACCTGTATCTGCATGCATCGCACTGCTCCCACATGATTAGTTGAATGGATAATTGTATGAATAAGCAGGTGTTCCTAATAAAGTGCTCAGCAAGTGCATACTGTATATTTAGATTCAGAGTATTGAAAACATAAAAAAAAAACACCATGCATATTTATTCAACAAAATATAGGTTTTCACCTTCTTCTTTTGCCTCACTATATGCCTGTGCTGGAAATAGGTCTGGGCAAAACTCTATAGATTGTATTGGAGCAAGTCACCTTCTTTCTTTCTTTCTTTCTTTCTTTCTTTTTCTCTTTCCTTCAATTTTATGCAGTTAATTATATAAAGAAAATTAAAAAAAAAAAGAAGAAAGAAATGAGTTAAATATTCAGCTATTCCTAAACTTCCCCACCACCTGATTTGCCACTGGAAATATCCTGATAAGTTTCTAAATGAAATCATCCATAATTGAGCAGTTACATAATATCTATCTGTGAAACAATTTGACATTAGGCCTTCAACAAGGGATGCCTAAAAAATATCTCTGGGGAAACACCAAATATGATCTTCAGGAATCATTACCTAAATACAAAGATTATATTTGGTCTGAATTTGCCCATGGCACAGTGTGCATCAAGTTGGGCTGTGCCTTCCACTGAGGCCTATGAGGCCATGTCATCTGTCTTTTCTCTGGGGATTTAGGTGCTTAGCAACACAGGGTTAGTTTGCCCTCTACAATTTAAAAATGACTATTACTATAATAATTTTTAGACTCTATGTCTTTTACTATGACAACAGGCAACCTAGTTGTAGGCCAGCATTAATAATTATTTAGCATTTCTCCATTATATCATCGTAATCATCATCATTAACAGCTTTACACAAGTGTAACTTAGATGTCTGTCTGTGCAATGTTTATTAAATAAAGTTGTAATTTAAAAAAACAAAACAGACTGGATAGTCACGTGATAACTCATGTGGTTACAGTCACATGACGGGAAGAAATTCATCTGCAGGTTCACAACAAAAAGTGAAATTCCCGTGTAACACAGCAGCCTGAGTCTCCTTGTTGCACCACGCTGTGCGAACACCCAGAGGAGTTGAATGGTGGACTAACCTGTTGTAATAATGTTATTCTCAATTCTCTTTGCCGTTGCTCTTGTTTCTCAAACGGCGGCTCGGTTCACCGCGGACTGGACGAGCTTGGACGCCAGACCGCTTCCTTCATGGTACGACGAGGCCAAACTGGGGATTTTTATCCACTGGGGTGTGTTTTCTGTTCCTGGCTTCGACAGCGAGTGGTTTTGGTGGCACTGGCAGGGCCAGAAGCCTCCGGACCAGAAGTGCGTGAGCTACATGTCCAAGAATTACCCGCCTGGGTTCAGCTACCCAGAGTTCGCGCCTCAGTTTCACGCTCAGTTCTTCAACCCGGGAGACTGGGCGGACATATTTAAGGCCTCAGGTGCAAAGTGAGTCTGTCGCTCCCCGGTATTATTTGACCTACATCCGCTCTGGTTTACTGACAACAGTATCACACATTTACATATTATCTGGATTACAGGTATGTCGTCCTGACTGCCAAACACCACGAGGGATTTACGAACTGGGGGTCCCCGAACTCCTGGAACTGGAATTCTGTTGATACCGGTCCTCACAGGGATCTAGTGGGAGACCTGGGAGAGGCAGTGCGCAACAGGTGGGTCCTCACGTGTTATGAAGCTCAGACAAAGTGGTTGTTGCTGGTAGCAGGTACATAAAAAGGAATATACCATGAATGCAAAATAAGAAAGATTGTTGTGCAACCATCCTGTTCATGTGGCATTTACTGCCTTCCTTCTGACACTGGTGTTAACACTGCTTCCTGATTCAATATCAGCACTGATATGATTTTTATTAGGTGGAGCAGGTTCAGTGTTTACACTGTCAGTTACATTCTTCGGGTCACAGTGAGCTGCAGACTTGGCTTTTAAGTGCCACAGCATCTCTGACCTCATGTTACTGCACATAAAAATGAGTCCAATGAGGAAAACAGCTTCTTAATTTGGGGAAAAAGAGAGAGCTCTGGTGTCAGATCAGTACTTAGTATCAGCAGATACTCTGAGTTTAGGTTTTGGGGGAGAAAAAAATTGGTATTTATTCTGTCTTGAAAAACAAATTAAAAGCTTGTAATTTCTTTATTTAGGTCATTGCACTATGGACTCTACAACTCCTTGTATGAGTGGTTCCACCCTCTCTACCTGGCTGACAAGAAGAATGGATTCAAAACACAGGACTTTGTGATGCATAAACTACTACCAGAGCTTTATAACATGGTTGTAAGGTCTGTACTGCTGAAATGATTACATCAGTTTATTTTCCACTTGCACATAAAACAATCAGACATAGTTATAGCAGCATGTGCCTCTATGAGAGCGCAGCATGCTGGCAGCAGGTCTGAGCCTTTCCTGTCCTGCTGCCTTGCAGGTACAGACCTGAGGTGATATGGTCTGATGGGGACTGGGAAGCACCTGACACCTACTGGAACTCCACCCAGTTCCTGGCCTGGCTCTACAATGACAGCCCTGTTAAAGTAAGTGTGTTTATGATGAGGAGATATTACACAATAGCACAGAAATGATATATATTTTTAGTAAGCGAGACCTTCAGCAGTTAATTGTTTCAGCAAGGTTGCATGCACTTATCAGATCCCTCTTGCCTTAGGATACCATTGTGACCAATGACAGATGGGGAGCTGGCTGTGCCTGTAAACACGGTGGCTACTATAACTGCGAAGACAAATATACTCCAGGCCAGCTGCCAAAGCACAAGTGGGAGAAGTGCACATCTGTGGACACATTTTCCTGGGGTTACCGGAGGAACATGAAAATGAGTGAACTGATGGACTTACCCACCATAATAAAGGTGAGCATATTAGATAGTAGTGTTTTATAACTTGTTTATAATTTACCAAATCTATAATGATATCTAGGCTGTTTCCAGTGACTGACTGGTTTTCATCCTCCTCCTCCTGATGCTGTTACAGGATCTGGTTCGCACTGTGGCTCTGGGAGGTAACTACCTTCTGAATGTGGGTCCCACACCTGATGGGATGATCCCCGCTGTGTTTGAGGAGAGGCTCAGGGGTGTTGGAGCCTGGCTCGCGATCAATGGGGACGCCATCTATGCTTCTAAACCCTGGAGGGTCCAGACAGAGAACACCACTGTGCCAATCTGGTAAGAAGCGTTCAGATATTATATAGAGGACAGAGGTGGACTGAACATAGTGTTAACAGCCCTCTGCTGTGGGAGAGCCAAGCATTTTCAGGCTTAAGTGCACAGTAAAACTAAACATTTGCTGCAATCTATTTTAAGTGATTGATCCAATAATTTATATGCAGATTACTGACACAGCTGTCAACTCCATTTTTCTAGGTATACATCTAAAGGGACTTCTGTTTATGCCATCGTGACAACCAAACCTTCCAAGCCCACAGTGCAGCTGCTGGAACCCAAAACATCAGCGGCCACCAAGGTAAAGTGACTGAGATGAACAAAAAGAAATATAACCTTGTTAAATACAGAAGTCTGACAGAGGAGCTGTTCTCCCCACAACATGAAATTTTACAACCAGCTTACTCACATGTGTGATTCCAAGTATGTGAAATGTAACCATCTAAAACACTGATTCTTGTCCCATGTCCAGGTGACCCTATTGGGGAATCCAAAGCCGTTACCCTGGTCCCCAGTCCAGCCCAGCTTTGGCCTTATTGTCCTCCTGCCCGAGCTGCCCTATACCCCTGGTCAGGCCTGGATACTGAAACTGGACGGAATCCAGTGAGCCTTAAACACCTGAAGTGTCCAACCTAATAAACTCAGGTTCATTCTGTGTGAAAAGGGGAAGCTTATGCACTACGGTTGAAGAGACCACGCTGACTTAATAGATTTGTATTTTTGCAAAAAATGAACAGCACACTCCTCTTCAGTGATTCATTTGTTGCTGTGAGTTTTAATGTGTCAGTGCCTCTTGATTATGCTCTTTTCTTTTAATGAGTGAATGATTCAGAATGAAAAGTGGAATCTGCTGTTCAGCTTGTGAGGCAGCTTTTCAGCTGTCTGTAATTTTTGTTTCTGAAATGAATCATTTATCGACTGTTTTTTTTTGAAGATGAACAGTTTAACTACAAAGCACTTTTTTATTTTTTTACTGTATACTTTTAAAATGGTGGGATTAAACATTGTTTGATTTTTCTGATGAGTGACTGTTGTCAGAAATGGGAAAACAATAAAGATATATTAAAAAACTGTTATTCAAAGTCAACTTTCTTCAACTTTTCTGACAATGTCCTCAGTCTGAAGGGTTTCTGAAACTAAAATACCTTTAAAGTCAAGAGGAAGTTTTCTTGCCATTTGTCTGGTGGCACTTTAAGCCTCCTTCAGATCCCATCACTTTAGGAACCTCTTGTTCATAGCTCCTGTGTTGTGCTCAGAGGCAATTACTTTTGTAAAAACTCAAATCTTATCCCAATTTCTGTAGTCTCAGATATAGAAACCTCGAGAGTGCTTTTCAGACATAAGTATGAGCCAATAGGTTATTTTTTTTCTTAAAACTACATGCTACAGCCATGGTTGGGAACAAGATGACTACTGGATGACTTTTGATTTCCTATGCAGCACTTGTTAGCACTTTTATTTTCAGCAACTCCCTGAAGTGCCTGAGGATGGCAATCACCTACCACATTTTTATATCTTACTTACTGCTGACCTTTTGATTGTAATCTGCTCCTCTCACCCTGAGGCTACTACTGTGTGTTCCTGAAACTTTGCTGGACACTTTATATTCAGTAGCAGTCGGCTATATTTGTGAATGCAGATCTGTGCCACAACTGTTGTGTGTATGGACAAAAATATCTCTTCAATGTGTCAGTCTGAGATAAGACCTGACTGGAAAAAAGGATACTCACGGGGACTGCGCATTTGATTCCCATCGCCAGCAGTAAATTGTTGTCTGTCCTTTCTTTTAACCCACCTTAATAGGTGTATGTGGCCTGCTTTGTATTTGCATTGCAAATTCCTAAAGCGAGACGAATAAAGAAAATGGAAATTTTCTTTGACCTCTGCTGTGCATTTTTAATGCGTGCTGTCCAGGTGGGGAAATCTGCACAGCAAAACATGTATATCTACTGAGTCGTTTAGTCTTACATCCAATCTCAAATGACTTTATCATCAGTGGGATGAGATTAAGCCATTAGTTTAGGGAAGAGTACCACGTTTATATCTACCATTAAATATAAAGCTATACAGCCAGTAGCCAGTTAGCTTAGTTTAGCACAAAGAGTGGAAAAGTACTGAAAAGTAAACAGCAGTTTTCTGTTTAATGAGGGATATGTGCTGGACCTGGATTATTTCTTGGCCAAGTGCAACTTTGCCTCCACTGGTTTCCTGGCAACTGCTCAGGAAATAGTCTGCCATGAAAAAACTTTTTACTCTTTGGTTTTTGTGCGGATGTATGGTATCAGTTTTCTCTACTAACTATCTGCCAGGATCTCTTCTCCCCCTGGTTTGAAGTGGGTGAGGCTCTGTTGGGAAAAAAAGCGATCACGTATACATCACATCGGTCACACACTTTCATGGACCAATCAGTTTAGTTTAGAGTTTATCAGGTTGTTTGCTTAAGCTGCCACTGTCAGTCAAATCTCATCAATTTCTCTTCATAAATAATAACTGAGAATGTTTTTTCCAGACCTTAACTATATTTAATATCATAGAGAAATACTTTAGATTAATTTACTTCAGAGTTGAATAAGGGTTCCTCTTTTATAGCACTTTAGAAATTCAAGTCAGAAAGTCAACACAAAAGAAAGACAATGGAGACGCAGCCCTCCTCATTTAACTCGCTAAAATAGCTTTATAATAATCATATTAATAGTAATAATATTAGCCATTAGAAAATGTTTTGACAACGTTGACAGTGTTACATTCTGTGTTGGGGTAAACCACGTCACAGTGTGCCATCTCTCTGGGCTTCAGCGCTATCAGACGTGCTCCTTTGACACATCTAGATCCATCAAACATACAAGATCAATAAATAAATTTGTATGTACAAAATGAGAACCACAACACAACGAACAGAATCATGATATACACTTCACTGTGCAACACCCTCCGCCGTACTCACGTACTCAGACTGCATCTCCAGGTCACCGTGGTGTTCTCATGCATCTCGTGTCATCCACTGGTGGCATTATGAAACAAAGTTCATATCTTATGGCATCGCTATTGCTATATGCTCCAGTCAGTTCCTTTTTATAGGAGGAAAAACAAAAGCATTAAATGTTTCTATGTACAATATGCTGTCTTGGCACTGAATCAAATGCGTATAAAACAAGAGAACTCAAGGATAAAGCTGAGCTTAAAGACAGAAAAGCTCGCTGTATCAAACCCGTCTGATTAAAAATAATGGTGTTCGGTGAGGAATACATGAAAGAGATGAGAGAGGAGGACAGGTGGAGAGAGAGTATAGACTGAGGGGCTATTTAGTTTTTGCTACATTACTGTATAGAGTAGAATACAGAGAGTGGAGAGTCTGTGTCAGTTTGATGTCCATGTTGTTTTCCTCTTCTGGCAGAAGTAAGAGTTCAGAGTGAAATAAAAGAACATGGGGAAAGAAGGTGCGGATCTTCCTTTCAGTCCATCAGTTCAACGCTTACTTTCCTCTTTTGGTGATCTCTCACTCCACACAGGAGTGTCCATCATTGATCCCAGAGAAAAATGTCTTCCCAGAGTTATTGTCAGTTTGCTTTTCTTCTACTCCATCTCCTTAGTAGCAGCGATTTAAGACTTGTCATCGTAGATTAAACTATTTTTTTTTTTGTTATTGTACACAAGACTCCCCCTTGAATACAGAACAATGTTTACCCATAGCTATAATTGACAACACCATTTATAATAATGAGAGTGATGGCAATAATTAATCCTTTAATGACAATAATCATACTAATAATAATCATATTGTAATAACAATATATGTAATATTGAGAAGAACAATGTCCATTGGCAACATGTATTTACAGTTTTGTAAACATGAGGGTGGCAGGGTATTATTTTTTTGTTAATTACACAGTAATTGCTCAGTTGTCTCTGACCCACATGGTTACCTGTGTGTGTACTGTAGAGCAACATTGCAGTGTTAATACACGCACACGCACACATACACGCACAAATTCAATTACACTTCAGTGCTAAAGGCACATTGGAGTTTGAGTTCAACATTTTCTTGGGTGCGAGCTGCTCTGGAGGCAGACGGGAAGTAAAAGCTGAGAGCGGAGAATCAAAAATGTGTAAGAAGTTTGGTTAAAGTACAAACAAGTATTGAAGTTATAATGCTTAAGCTTTTCATGAAATCAGACCTGACATTACTTAAGGTTGCCATTTATTCAGTGACAGCCTTTCAGAGTATTTACATCCTGTTATCACATCTCTGTGTAAGGTTTTCATTATTAGTGTCCGCCACTGACGTGTCGAATTCTAATTCTTTCCTACGCACAAGGGTCTCGCAGGAAATTGTGCATGTACATACGTAATACAGCGTTATTTTATTTAATTGATAGTTAACTATAGTTAGTAGTTAAGTTTTCATCCAAATGTGGCACAAATTTTAACCAAATCTCCAGAAAACCAGCAAAAGTAAATGCAAACATTAACAAGCATTTCCATCCCCTACTTATTTGCCAAAGTTGAGCAGATAAACAGTTCAATAGTTCTGTGCCATTTAAGCCACTGAAAAAGAAAGACAACATAATTAAATGTTAATGTTAATTTTGGAGCTCTACTGTCTGCTACAGTATTTTTGTTATTTTCGTAATTCTTTCACAAATAACATATTTTCTGAAAATATTTTTGTATTTCCTGCTGCTAAATGAGTCACGCTTCATATATGCTTCATATACATCATAATTTATTGTCTTAGTCTGTTTCCACTGAACTTTGTCGAGTTTATTTTGATCAATACACTGACTTTTACACCTCGGTCACGACTTCAAATTTCCACTATTCACATTTTGCTTTCTTATACGGGAATTAAAGATGCACATAAAAATATGTGGGTAGAAACACTTACTGTTTAAAGCTGTTTATGCTAGTTACTGCAAATGCTAACCCAACATTGCCAATTTTTTGACAGTATTCGGTTTCAAATACTGCAGAGAGTAATGGAACAAGAAGGAACAGCCGCAGCTCACGGCTCCAGTTACTTAGCTGGAAAAAAGTGACTTTACTTTTTCCTCCAGAGCAGCTCTGCCTCTGAGAAATGTCAAACTAAAACTCAAATCTGCTGCTACAACATCCCTTCCCGCTCCACTTTGTTGCAGATGCACAATATACAGCACACACACATTGGCTACAGTTGAGCTCTTGCCTCAGCCACCACCTCCTTCACTGCTTTTGACTCTGCTGCTCTCCAGTCTCGGGAAAATGGCTACTAGAGAAACTGGACTCAAACAACAAGTGCATTCCCCCCCCCCCTTTCATTCAGAGAATATGGACAACATTCCTGCGGGACTGCTCTGGTCCTGTGTTTTCAGGGTCTGTCGGTTGTGTGGTGCTAGAGAATCCCCTGAGGACAGAGGCCTGGGTCGGGGGTTGGAGACACTGCTGCTAGAAACTGAGGTACTCGGAGTTGACTTGTCCGTCTGGCTGTCCATGTGGGGTTTTTGCACTTCTAGAAGGAGGTGAAAGGGTTCATATATAGTTGTCTTGTGTGTTGGTGAGTGCTCGGATCATGTTTGTACAACTATACACCCAGGTGCTAGATTTAGCTGAGGCTCCTGTATTTATACTGTGCAGATATATCGCAGGACAAATGGATAGGTAAAATACTGAACAAAAAGTGTGGAAATCACAACCACCAAAAAGTGTGTTTGCAATGGACCTGTTTCAAGGCAAGGTGGCCGGCTAACACCTCAACTTGTGATCAAAAGTATAGAGGAGAAAGTCAGCGAGAATTGAAGAAGTAGTAGTTGCTACCGTGGATAAATATCCAACAAAGCCTTCTTGATTCCTGGTGTCCCTCGAGGCCAAAACGGAAAGACCTTGCCATCCCTCTGCGTGTAGGTTTGAGGAGTTTGAGGGTGGAGTCAAGAGTCCTTCACAGTGGAGTAACAGTATAAAAGCAGGTCTTTTGTGCTTTGTTCGATGAGGGCTGTGTCATACACCACTGAGATGTTGTTAAGTTTGAGGGTAGAGGAGGAGAGGAGAGGGGATGAGGGGATAAAAGGATGCTCTGCAACCCACACTGCTGCAGACGAGTTACACATGATGTCTGATTCTTCAGCCCTTTTTTTTCTTTTATTTCCAGGGCAGCTTGTTTTACATGGAGGTTGTTAAATGGATCTGTTGAGATTCAAATCGAAACACGGATTGCTTCTGATTGTTTCAAGGTTTCCAGTATCACTGTCCTCCGAGGATATAATCTTCGTACAAAGAAGTGACTCATTGAAACAACTGCATTGTAAAATCTTGTCAATTTTTTTTTTGTTTCAATCACAAAAAAGGTTTAGAAGCTACAAAATTTGATTTCCTTTCATCAGTCAAAAATGAGATTCTGCTAAATTTGTCATAAAACATGCAGTATTAACAAAATTATGTGAGTCTTATGTGTGTATTGCAAGTGAAAGTGAGGGAGACAAAGGATGGCATGTCAGTACGATAAAAACATTTTCTTTGACAATAGTCTCTGCAGATTTTATACTTTTCTATTACATATCTTTCTCTCTCTCTTCTCTCTTCTTTCTATCTCTTCCTTCTCTTTTTTATATATTATATATTTTATATATTTATATATATATATATATATATGTATATATATATACTGTAAACTGTGTTCAAAGGAAACCTCCACATATAGCTGGTTAGGCACATGTAGTTGGTTCTAAAGAGGAAGTACAGGGAGCAGATACAGCAGTATATGTTAGAACCACAGATAGATATACAGTAGGCCTAAGGAGGATCGTACTTGGCAATTAGCGCTCTTGCCAGTTATACCCTGTGAACCTGACCCAGCACTCACAAACTGAGGATAATAATAATAATAATCAGTTGAAATTCTTTTTCACTTGTACTGAGTCTGGATATGCCACACAGCTGAAGTATCACACAATGCTATAATCTATCATAATAATACTGTAGTAGTTCACATTTGATATATGCTTTTTTTTGTACATATACTGTACTCAATAGTCTCTACTAATCTAGAAATGTAGATTATATTATAAAATATACATCTCCCATTAAAATATCCCATTTTGCCAACACATTCCATCCAATTTTTAAAAAAAGAAATAAACAAGTCATGCGAAAAGATTCTTATATTTCCTGTGTGTAAGGGGTTTTTTTGTCTTTAAAATGGCTGATCTGGACTTTTAAGTATTAAATGGGCTTCATCACATGTCCCTTCCGACACACAGCCCTTCACACTCACACTACACACAATCTCACACTCGACGCCTGCACAAAAAAAATACTTCAATAAGAAATATGTGTTCTGACATAAATTAGTCGATGAAACCCCCCTCCAAAGCTTTGAAACTCATGCTACACTTTGTTCAGTGGAAACACCAGACAGTACGACTTCAGGAAGGAAATAAAGAGGAACACGTAGTGCAACAAACAAACAGTGTAACTCCATTCATAGCACGTCTTACTTTAAGCTCAGCAATTCACTATCTAGTTGCTTCTTTTCTATAATGTCACAACTGTGTGTCCTCTCTGTGGTAATTCTTTGGAAAGGGGTTTGGAGGGAGCTACATACAACAACTCCTTTTGTTTTCTGTCCTAACTCACTCTGTCTTTCGTCAGCAGTGTGTAGGAGAGATTTGTACTTCAAGTTAGGCGAGTGGATTCTACTGAAGACTTTGGCGGGTCTTTCTCTCTCTCTCACTTTGTGATCCATTGCCTTCTTAATTATGCAAAAACACCATGGGAAAGTCCACTCAAACAATATTCGTTAGAAGAAAAGAGGAAAACACACCGTGTGTCAAGGGAAAGAACTGAAAGAAAGTAATAGTAAAGAAACTGATCTTCTTTCATGGCTGTTTCATCAGAGCGTCTGTTAATTTCTGACTGAGGTGGAAAGAACTCTCTACAGACCACTGTTGTTGGTTTGGGTCCACATTTGACCACTTGGTGGTGCTATAGTCTCACAGTGAAATGGGGGCCTTGTCAGTGAAGTCCTGAAAAGCCACCAAAATATATTCCCCCTAAAAATTCCCAGCGACCCCACCCCCTGAACACTTGAAACTTCAGAAAGACTACATAAAAAGCAAACAGATCTACTTTTCTTTTTCTTTTTTTTTTTGTCTGTGATGCTCTCTAGCTGTCAAGGCTGTGATGCTATACTGCAAAAGCTCCTTTTGGCAAACATGAGTGTGCACACTATGTACAAATAGCACTTGCACATTCAAACAGCCTCACTGCTGAATGGTGAGGGAAGTCGCTGGATGTGCGGGACGTGAAGGAGTGGAAGGAGAGGAACACAAAATGATTTCATATTCTTTGACCGAGTGCCTGGGTGGACAGATGGCACCTGGGTGAAAGGTGCCAGCTGTAGTTGGCTGAATACGCTTGAAGGATGTTCTTTGGGGATCGCCAACCATCTGACTTTAAGGGCGTTTAAACTGATGAGGGGAAATTCATCCATGTTTATTCATCCATACTGGTAGCATCGGGGAAGAGTATGGATGCGTCTTGTTGTGATGCAGGAACCCCACAGAACATAATACGGATTCTGCTGCAAATGGCGTCAGGGATCCATACAGGGAGATTCTGTCAGAGGTTTTGTGCCTGTTAAGCCCTTTATTTCGAAGTGCTAGGTGAACACGCACAGGCATGCTACTACTGCGTGAACCTCTGCTGACTAGTGTTATAAAAATGGACTAATGCTAACTACTGTTTCATGTCTAGGCCTCTGTGTCAGTAAAACGTCCAAATTTCAAGACACTAAAATGGCTGTCATTGCTTGTTTAATGAGCAAGATGTCAGAATTTGCAGTTGTGGTAAGTGAACTAATGAGAATGCCGAGGGAAGGGTAGCAGATTAACAGCAATGACCTGCAGGAGATCCCAAACTAGGCGCAGGTCCGCTTCTGCTGGGGTGAGGTTGAGTGAGGAGGTGGAGAGGGAGACACCACAGTCTTGCGTTCAGAGTCGAGTCTGGGCTTCGGGGATGTAGATCTCGATGCTGTCGGCGCTCTCTGTGGCCGAGTTCTGCCGGAAGGAGGCGGTTCTCTTGGTCTGCAGCAGCCTCCTCCTCGCTTCTGTCCTCTGACGGTCCCCGAGGTCCAGGGACTTCTCCCTGATGGGTAGGGTGTGTCCACCCACGCGAGGCACCACCAGGCCCCCCGAACCCACTCCTCCACCTCCGGCGCCCACATCCCCAATGCTATCGGCCCGGAGGCTGCCGCTCACCCCGCCTGCTGGCTTCTTTGGTAAGGGAGGAGGAAGCTTCTTGTCCTCCTAGCCCGTCGATGATGTGACATAGATTTAAGATGTGAACGGACAGTGGATTTATTGTGTCGGGTGGTGGGAAAATGGTTTTATAAGGTTGCGTGAAAGGAATCCCATGCAAAAAAAAAAAAAAGAAGGAAAAAAAAGCGGAGATATTGGGAGAAACAAAGAGAATGAGAAACCACAGACAAAAAGGGTAAAATTCAAGAAAAGAAGAATCATGGGCCGGGACGTTACGACAGACAGATAACAACCAAAATCAGGAAAAAAAATCAGCAAAAAGTATCTCAGCATGCATTGGCATCAGGTGAAAATAAAAGAAGAAAAGGAAATGAAATGGGAAAGGTAAAGGTGAACAAAAATTATGTAAAAAGAACAAGAAGAGAGGAAAAACAATTGTTAGTTTGTTATCAAGAATAATGTAGTTGATCAGTGAGTAGTCTAACCTTTAAAGACAGTAATGTAACAGTCAAGTACTTTCTTCTGTCTGACCAGCTGCAGCATGTGCACATATTAGTTACAGTTGCAGTTAGAATCATTTTTTAGCAGTATAAGACTCCACTGTCTCATGTGCAGCTCAGCTCAGTTCCTCTTGCTGTTCTGTATTTTCACAGCCTGCAAAGGCTTGGAGGGCACGACCATCTGCGCTACTCTTCTGCACATTGCCATCTTAGCTCTGGGGGGTTGCTGAAGTGAAACCAGGGCTGTTTGGATCCCCGGGCCTCTCACCTTCTTTTCAGGTGGGAGCCTCCAACCAGAGTCCTTGAGCCTCTGGAGGTCCTGAAACTTGACCCTGACATCCTCTATGTTGAGCTGGAGCAGGTCCCAGAAGCCTGCCAGGTCCTGAGAGGTGGGCTGGGGGTAGGCTGATGGGTCCTGGGGCGGGCAGGGAGACAGGATGCGACATGCGATGGGTGAGTAATATACAACGCTTTGTGAAAGGGAGGATGTTGCAAAAAAAACAATTTCTAGGGTTTTTGCAGGCAAACTAATTTTGTTTTTAGCAACAGTGAATCTCAGCGGAACCATACACCATATGTAATGATATGTTGTCATGAATTTACATGCAATCACGCATACTGACCACGCTTTGTTGGCAGAGGCGGAAGAATTGCTGGACTTTCTGAGACATGAGCATCTGGGCGCTGCCAACTGCATTTCGAATCAGCTCAAGAACTGGGGAGGAAACAGCACATAAATAGTTTCAGAAATCCAAGAATTATTCATCGTTTATCTCTGTCTCTAATCTTTTTGATCCTCCTCCCAAACTCACTCTCCTCTGGCAGTTCGTTCTCCTCAGCCTCCCTCTCCATGTTCTGGCACCAGCCCTCCATCCTTTCCACCTCCGTCTGTAGGAGGCGTAAGAAGAACTCTCCATCTCTCATGCAGGGCGAGGCTCGGCCCGAGTCGGGCAGGCTTCGGGGGCCCTCCAGGGACGGCGTCCCCGCCCAGGCTCGCTCAGAGGTGATGGGCAGAGGGGAGTGGGAACGTGGCGGCAAGTGCGGGTGCTGGTGGGGCCGTGGGTCTGCTGGGCAGGCCTCAGTGGTGTACCCACTCTGGATAAAGTCCTGGGAGAACAGAGGAGAAAACAGTTTGGACACTTCGGGGATTTGGACCATCAATAACGGTATAATAATTGAACAAAGACATTTCCACTATAAACCCTCTGTTCATTGTGTCTCTATCACAGTGACTGAAAGAAAGTAATTACTGCAACTGCACCAAATAATCCCATATTCAGTAATGGAACAAGGTGGACCTTCCCAGTGTCACTTGTATCATAAAGTCCGTGACAAAGTGTGAACACAGTTACTGTAGGGAATATAATTAAAGCCTGATCATGTACAATACATCCATCTAAAGTAGTGAAGGTGCCATCAGTGGCTGAAATCCATTGGTAACCAATCAAACTCAATTTCATATGTTAACCCTTTTCATCGACTGTACCTCTGATTCTACTGTAATTGATTTAAGTTAATCAGAAAAGGTTGTGTGTTTTTCTTCAGGTTTTCAGGTTCCATGTGGAGTTTTTGACCACTGGTAGCGCTATGGAGCTGTTTCTAAGCGGGTCCTCCTTCTGTTTGTATCACGTTCACATGTACAGCACTTAACATACTGTACGCACAAGCACACGGTCAACACCATTCCTGCCAAAGTTTCATGCCACGTCACTGATTTACAGCTTGTGGCTAAAGAAACGTGCCAGTAAGGGCACAGGAATGGTGAACACAGGGGACAAGCAGCAATACGCAGGACTTGTAACCAACAGGGGTGACCGAACTAACCACGAGCGAACTCGTCTGCTAGCATCTGATGAAGCAATCTGTGCAGGCGATCTAATCTAACAGACCACACTGACTGTGGGTTTGAAGGTGTTGTTTTACTAGTGTCTGTTAAAAATGTTTCGAAGGATCCATTTCAGTTTGAGCTGGAATTCATTAATGAAAATGATGTTTGTTGTCTTTGTAAAAACACTGGCATTATGCTGTTTCATCTTCATTACCTGACACCTGACATTCAGGTACGTCATTCGGGTGCTGGGTGACGATGTAAAGAAATTGAGCAATTTATATGGATGGGATCCTTAAACATGGTTTTCAAATCTGATTAGAGGTTTTGTCGCATTAATATTCATGAAGAGTATAATGTCATACGTCAATAAAAAAGCTGCTGTAGAAAGTTTTACAATTTTTCAATAACAGTTTTGTTATGCGTTATTTCACTGTTTACATTCTCCTACAGAACAAGAAGACAAGCTACAGGGCTACAGAAAGCTAGCCTACCTCTCTGTAGGCCCACTGTCCCTGCGTGTGGACGGTGCGGTGACACTCTGTGTACTGGCTCGCGGACTCAGGCTCTGACGAGTGCCTTTGGAATGAACAGCCGAACTGAAGGCTCTTGTCCTGTGTTGGCACGGCAATGCTGAGTCCTGGGAAGCCCTCGGGGTCCAGGTCGGCCTGCACGCTCGCTGTCACACTGTTGGAGCGCTTGAAACGAGCCCGCCTGCAACACAGGGAGTCACAGCAGGCCCCGAAGCCATCCAGTCACACGCGGTATTGCATGCAAAAGCCTTTCTCAAATATTTTTTTTTTCTCCTTCTAATAATTGCACATTCCTGTTTGAGCTGGGATAGTCGAGCCTTCACTGCAGTCACCACTATGCACTTGGTTGTGATAAGTCCTGCTAAATCTTTTGGCATATGACGCACTAGTGTGTGCAAATGTCACGTCAGTGGACTCAGTGATGAATGTTTACTCTATTACAAGTTTATACCCCACCTCCCCTCATCCTTCTTTGCTGTCTGATGGGGTGTGAGGTGTGACTCAGATTTCCGCTCTCTTCTCACGCTCCCCCACCCCCCGACGTCACACTGTCATCCTTGATGATTGCAGGAGGGTGGGGGCATTATTAACAGGTGCATGATCACACAGCGACTGCTGGAGGTTTGGGAGTATGAGATGCTGTGTGTGAGCTTGCACGCATGTGAGTCTGACCCGTAAGCATTGCGAGATATAATTAGGAGAAGGGCCGCACGTGTGAAAGTCATGTCGAGTGTATGATTTGCAGTAGTCATGGTTACAGTCACTAATGGCGAAAAACAAGACATTCTTGGAACAAAGTGTTACTGAGTTCAAGCTGTGATGTCTGATGAAATGTTAAATGAAATAATAAGATCTAGCCAAGAAATCAACCATAGGTGGCTGCGCTGTTGGGCGCCTGGGAGATGAAGGCTCTTTCAAATTATATATGAAAATTATTCACATAAATTACAGTACGACGACCACAAGCCCTTGATGAAGCCACATATTTTTGGTTGCAAAGATAAATTAGTAAATAAACAAATCGCATGTCTTAGTTTGCAAGTCTGTGTCTGTAATTAATGCAAGTTAAATGTCAGGCAAAACAAACACACAAGTCGGGAAGAGATTTCAAAAATACTTTTTCCCTACTTTGACTTTTAGTTGCACTTTCTTCTTTACCTTTTATCATCTTCCACTTGGACTCCTATAGAGTGGACCTCTGTAAGAGCTTTGCCCTCTCCGTCTGAATCTGACAGAGTCTCTGAGCTGTCCACCTGGAAGAGAAACAGCCACAAAGCACCACAGTCAGACCACAGAGGAAACACGTGGCCTTACAGATGCGATACACAACTGGAATAAAAGGAATAATCAGAGGCTCGCTAGTTATTAATGTTATATCTTGTTATTCCTTTTTCATACAAAAACGTGTAAAAAAAACAACAGGTTACAATGTGAGGTTATAGTGAACTGCAGTTGGCAGATTTTGTTGCTATGCTAAGCTAATTGGATGCTTGCTGTAGCTTTATATCTAACAGGCACACGAGAGTTGAACTGATCTTCTCATCTAACGTTTGGCAAAAAAATAAAAAAAATGAAATTAAGTCTTTGTCTCAATTTTTAATGAAATTGCCTTTTCTCACCTGAACAGCTATGGATGGACTCCACTTCCTCCCAGCTCGTCCTTCATCCTGCCCTCCAACTTTACTCAGCACTATGCTGTTCTGAGGCAGAGAGACTGATTTCCCCAGACTGCCCCCAACCCTGCCGTCCCTCTCCCTGGCCGGCCTCGGTGGCCCCTCCAACAGACTGTCAGCTGAGCTGCTGTGTTTGGCTCTCACCCCGACCCCCGGGCCCCCTCCGTAGGGCACAAGCTCCCGCGAACCCCTGACCCCATCTAGGCTCTCTGCTGAGTTACTGTGCTGCCTGGAACGTCCAGGGCCTGTGGCGGTGTAGTAGCCTCCTCTGGAGGAGCGACCCGAGGGCCCGTCAGAGCTGCCCAGATCCACAGAGTTGCTGTGCTGCTTGGGGCGCCCGGGGCCTGAACCTGAGGCCAACTGTCCACTGCTCTGGAAGTAGGCATCCTGGGTGGACTCAGTGCTGCTCTGAGCCCGCACCGAGAGTGAAGACTTGGACATGCGAGGTGGGAGTGGGGGAGGAGCACCTTTACGATAAGGAAAGACTGAAGTGTGAGAAGAGCGGGAGAAAGGAAGACAGAGGCATAGCGGTCTGTTAAAAGCAAAATGGGAGCTATATGAACAGGGAGCAGTACTTACAAAAGGGACAGACTGGAAGGAGAAGGTGAAAGGAAAGACAGAGAGTGAAAAGACGGAAATTTATTGGCATAAAAGGAGGTGAACCAAGACAGAGAAGAAGAGAAAACAAACAAAATCATTAGGAAATAATGACAAAAAAGATTTATAAACGCAACTCACTATTTCTTTTCACCAAAAATATCAGCTTTTGGTGTGAATTTCAGTGAGAGGCAGCGAGTGAAGTGGTGGAAAAGACAGACAGGATAGAAGTGACAAAAGAAAACCTCTTCCCTTGAGCTAACTTAACTCCGCTTCTTAGGAAGATAAAGCAATTTCCTGAGAGAAATATTAAAATGAGAAGTGCAAATTCTGTCTCTTCCTCCTCCCTCACAGCTTCGTTAGACATAGATGTGCACACATACACACACACACACACACATACATACATGCACAGAGTTTATTTTCACTGAATACAGGATCAAACTTTAATGCATTTCTTTCCAGACATCTTCATTGCTTTAAACCAAGAAGCTCTAACCTCCAGTGTGTGTGCATGCATGCACGTATGTATGTAGGTGTGCGTGCATTTGAGTTTGTGTACCGTACGTGTGTGTTTGTGGCTGATGTATATGACACTTCACAGAAGCTTTAGTAAATCTCAGGGGGGATTTGCTGGTCTAAGCTTAGAATTTTGAGTCCTATGAGGCACTGAAGTGGCTCTGCAGTGTACTGTACAAACACACATTAGCAAACAGATGCACCCACACACACACACACGCACACACACGCATACACACACACACACACACACACACACACACACACACACACACACACACACACACACACACACACACATCAACATAACAATCTGAAATAAATACAGATAGAGTGAATATTGGACTTGAGCAGGAGATTTCTTTATGAAGAATTATTAGGAAAAAAAATACAGAATCCAAAAAAAAAAAAAAATGTTTCAAATTAATTGATGGAGAGGGAGAACACAGAGAGAAGTGACCATGCCAGGAAGAGGCAGATAGAAGCAGCTGGAGACACTGAGCTATCATCATAATCATGAGTGTTCCTGTAGCTATTACTGAGCCAGAGGAACGTGCTATCACATGGGAGGATGATGGAAGAGATGAGATCCAGAGACAAGACAAATGATAGAGAACAAAGAGCATGCACAATAACATACACACAAGCCTATGCTTATAGCATGCACACATATACATACAACACAAAGAAAGTGCTGCAGGGGGAGGAGAAGGGTGAAAAATAATGATTGCAGAGAAGAAAAAAAGGTTAGAATTTAAAAATGGATGCACATATTACATACAGGTGTGTGGTGGCTGATAGTGTGGGGTTTGTGGATGTGTAGGTGGATGTGTGTGTGTGTGTGTGTGTGTGTGTGAGGTAAGCAGGCACAAGCTGTCATAAAATTCCTTCTCCCACTAGCTGCCCTACTGTGTCGCCCACCTGGTTGCCACCACATAAAAGGCAACCGCGCATTCTTCTAACGCTCACACAGACACTCACAGACTTTTACATACTGGTAGACTGAGCCGCACACAAGCACAAACTCACCGGCCCCGCCCTTGATGCTTCCCTGGGGGCCGGACATGGAGAAGACGGAGAGGCAGTCGTCGTCCTGGGAGCAGCCGGCCTGGATGGCACGAACGTAGCTGTGGCTACGGGTGCGGAACACACCTGGAAGATCCAGGGCCTCCACGGCTTGAGACTCCACCTCCCCAAACATGGTCTCGCACACCGCCTCAAACTGACGGTTCAACGTATCTCCCAGCTGGAGGAGGGAAATGAGGACACTTGAGTCTAGTCAAGGCACCTCATCACAGAATGACACAAGTAAAGCACATTATTTGATACCTGTGAGCTGGTCAGAGAGCGGGTGTAACTACGAGAGCGGGTGTGGGCTTTGGGTGTGGTTCGGGTGTTGGGGTAGGAATCTGTACACTGCTTACAGGAGTACCTGGATCAAACATATAACACACATAATCAGCATGAACAGCTATAGTGCATAATGAAACAAACAGCTATTTCTCACCTCGTTAGTATCACATTCTGGCTGTAAAATCTGCAGCCATTTGCTTTGCTATTTTTGACAAGAACTCATATTTGTAACACACGGTGCACCATTTGGTTAACCACGACCATCAAATAAAATGTCACTGAGTCATCTTCTATAACTATGCCAGTTGGAGGCATTTTGAGTGTTGTAATGCTGCATTCCCCAGTCAAATGAGAAAATCTGAAAAAGCATCAAATCATAACTATAATTTTTTTCACATTTCTATGAAATCATTCTGAAATACTGATTTGTGCTATTTCCATGTTGGATAGAAGTGCAGTTAAACGTGGAATTGTCCTGTGACAAACCCCAGGTTCCCAAAGAATTATTCACTACACAGAAGAACATAATGTTCTGTCTTTTTTATGATAACTTAACTGTGCTGATGTAATAACTCATTGTCTTTCTATATCATATTGTGACAAAATCCTGTTTTCAAGATAGGGTACTGTAATTTACAGTTATCTCTGAATGAGGCAATGAGAATTATGACTAGATTCAATGTTACTGAAACTATCGCTGAATATTTTAAAGGGCCACTCAATTTTACACAGTTTTACTCAGCCAGTGAAAGGTGTGTAATGTGTTCTGTGTCTCTGGACAGAGCTTTTTAAGGTCTAACAAAATAACCTAGACGATTTCATCAGGGTTATTCTGTGTTATAAGTTAAATATTTCAAATGTAATGTTTGTAGTGTCCAGATGTGCAAAAATGAATCATTGTAGTAGCTCTTTAAGTTCTTCAAAATTAAAACTCTTTTTAAATGTCTTTATTTTTCGTCTACCTCTAGTTTAAAGCCATCATTTACTGACTTTAACAGCACAGTCAAAGACCAGTGCTGCTTCATGCTGCAAAACTAAAATGGAAGGAAATTAAAAGCATGAATTTCAGAAAAACAACAACAGATTAACATCATGTGAAAAGTCCATCAATGTAACTAACTATAGTAATAGTACTAACTATAGCATTTAAATACATATAGTGAAGAAAAAAGTACAATAGTTCCATCTGAAATGTAGAAGAGCAGGAGTATAAAGTAAGTGGAAATTAGCAAAGTATAAATACCTCAAAAGTGTACTTGAGTAACTGGACTTTGCACCACTGCATGTGTGTATAGAGAGACATTTTACTACAGCTATCTTGTACTTTTGTGACTATGTAAGATATTTGAGTCCAGCTGGATGTTAAAAACCAGAGTGTCAGGATGGAGCAGATCAACACGCACAGCTCAAACGTCTTTCAACATAAAAATTACATTTGTGACATTTGACCTTTGATCCATGCTGATAGATCGTCGAAAGGCATCCCTCTGAGCAATCAGGGTGGACTTGGGTGAGGCTTTGGGGCTGGTGTCTGAGTCGGCACTGTCGTCATCACCCATGGCCTTGATGTAGCTGCCGCTTCGCATACGACGGCAAGGAATCTCCCCTGCGCTGTCGGCTGGGCCGCCACTGCCGTATCCACCTCCCCAGTCTTCTGAAGGGACCTGGGACACATTCACATAGTCATAGGTAAGTTTAGAAATAAGTATGAGGATAACACAAACACGTAGTAAGTAGAAGTGTACGACCATGTGGAGTTGACACATGGTCAAGTTTGTTTAGTAAGACTCTCTATAAATGGATTAAACACAGAGTTGGTATGGTTAAAAGTAAGTAGGCATTCTTCGTCTACACTGACTGTTAAGTGAAAAGCAATTGATCACAATGTGAATTAATCAGTGTTGAGATATTGAAGATGTTATCACTGCACTGTTGGCAGTTTCTTCCCAATATCTGTTATCAAAGTCAAAAGACTTCTGGAAACAGAAATATATTTCATCCTTGAAAGATATTTCACACCTCACACAGAAGGACAGCGATGACTCAGACGCACAGTCCTCGCACACGTGCACACAGTGTTGGCTTGTAAAGCAAACACACCAACACAGAGAGCTCAAGCATGCTCATGCACACGATGAGAGCACACTCGCGCGCGCACATGCACATACAGTATATGCATACACATGGGAGATGACGTTAGTGAAAGAGAGAAAGGGACAAAGGGACTTACAGAAAGAGAGAAACTCTGACAGCTGGAGAAACACTGACACAGAGAAGGAAAAACAGCGTAAGCCAGAAGCCGACAGACAGAGCAAATAAACAAATACACAGAAAGGCGGGTAGACGAGCAGAGAGGACAGACGGACGAAATGTAGGCAGACAGACAGGAAAGACGAGTGGCATATAGAGAGATAGACAGATGTACAGGGGGGACAAAACAAGAAACAGGGAAGCAGAATAGCAGACTTAAGCCGACAGAGAGCAGGATGACAGACGAGCAGTCTGATGAGAAAACAAAATGAAAAACACACACACACACACACACACACACAGGGAGACACTCGAGACAAGAAACTAAAGAGGAAGGCAACACATAGAAAAGTGATAAAGAGCAATGAAATGAAACCAAAAAATTGACAGGTTCCCACTGCGGCCCTCATGTAAAATGTATGATGTCTCATAACCAAGTCAGAATGCTTTCATTACTCTTAAAAATGTCCTCGCTTTCTGGTCTGTTGTGGGAGTTTTTGTGTACCAAAGAAAAACAAGATGACACCTCATTCAGTGAGTGACACCGTGAAAACTTTTCTGACATATTCATATGAGTTGACTGTTTTGGTAGGCAGAGCTAGCAAGACAGAAAGACAATGAAACAGCTCGTGTCTTTAAAAAAAAGCATTAACTGCCCAAACAGGTCAGATGTGACCACAATGTACAACAATAGTTAAAAGTGGCTAAAAAGCTGAGGGCAATTTCAGAGATGGTTGATAATTCTCTGTGGGTTTGTCATTAAAAGTGACACATTTGACATTACTCATAGTCATTTCAGCCATTGTTCAAATTAAAGATATTGATTAGCGCAGCTTTAATTTGCATCTTTAGAGTTGAGGTAAAACTTCCAGAGGTAAGGAAGCTTAATTCAAAATCACACTGACATTTGTAATCATGCAAATACCATGCAAATGACTAAAGATCCAGCCTTGGAACATAAACTTACTCAACAGTATGACATATTGTTGTATGTTGAGTATACTCCATTTGTCAAGGCAAGCATGGTAATTAAAAAAAAAAAATAGAGCTAATATCTTTTTTATTTCATTTTTTTTTATTCATGATTTCTGCTCTCAACGACATTTAAAGGACAAGCCCACTAACCACTGCAGTTTGTATGTCATCAGAGGCGATTCTGTAGGTGATTGGACGACAAGGGTCAAACTCGTGGGCAAAAAAATGAAGCCAACACAGAAGTGCTAAAAACTTCAGTTCCTTCAATGGCCACTTGGGGCTGGCTCCAAAAGTGAGTCAATCCCTGTAGACTTGCATGTTAAAATGCCCAACTTTACAGCAGAAGTTAACATGTCTACAGCCTGGTACAAAAAACTGTTTTAGTGTCTATAGCTAATTCCCCCCTTCCTGGCAACTGTATGGGGCTGAATTACATAACTCACCTGTCTAACTTTATTAAGGTTTAAAGTTATGCATGATTGAGGGCATGCATTCTCGGCTCCACACGTGCACCACCTCTTTGCCCATTTTTGGATTAGCCTGGAGTTATTTAGGCAGAGTCAGGTACTGCCAAGATGGCGACGGCGGAGCAGCCCACTTCGGGTTTCAAAACCGTTCCGCAGAAACCTATGGGTGAGGTCACGGAGGCTACATTCAACTTTATATACAGTCTATGGTGGAGGGCCCATGTCTCTAATAACAGCTAAAAACTTTTTAAAACAGTAGAGATTATAGATAAAATGTTGAAAAAACGGACACTGGAAGAGGATCCAATAAGGGTTAAATAAAGAGACCTGGTTTAGATAATTGAAGACATTACATGTTTCATCTAAGATGCTTGTTCAGTTCAGAGCTTCAGTTCTTGATTCAAACCTTCTTGGACAACCGACCATGACATGGACGGCTGAGGATCTTCACAGATGACATTAGTACAAAGCAAAATTATAATGGATGTTAAGTATCTGCACTGTTATGGTGGCAAATTTTCATGGGAGCTGTAGTTCTTGTATGCTAAAAATAAATAAATAAATGACTGAGTAACTTTGTAAAAATCATGGATGTTTCAGTTTCTAATATCACAAGCTGCAGTAGAAGGTAATTTGACTTCATATATGAATAAACCCTAGGATATTTTTTTTTCAGTGACCCAATGAAAACACCTACAAACATTGACACACACACATAGTGAAGACCCCACGGTTTGGCATCCAGCTGAGTGTGTGTTTTTAAGGTCATCACTTAAAAGTTGATTCAGCCTAATCTCCTGATCCCCCTGGCCTTCCACTATCTCTCTCATTTTCTCATCCTGCTCTTTCACTCCTCCTCTCGCTTTTCCCCCTGGCTACCATCACCTCCTTTATCTCTTCTCTATCCCTGAGCTTGCTTCGCTATCTCTGGATCCCTCTACCTTGCTCTTTTCCCTCCTCTATCTTTGTCTCTCTCTCTCTCCCTCACTGTTTCGTCTTCATTTCACTTTCGCTCCATATTCTTGTTTTTGTCATTCCTTATCTACGAGACACAGGCCGAGGGGAAAAGAGAGGCTTAGGGAATGGAGAGCGCCGGGTTCTGATGCCGCACGTCGTGATTGGCATTGACACCATGGGAGAAAACCTTGCACATGTCCCTTTGCTTCTGACCACTGTAATTCAGACATTTTTGTTCCTTTAATTTTCACTTCGAGATGCTTCACTTTTTTCTTGCTTTTCTTGGTGTGGACTTGTCGAGATAAGCTTGTATGAACATGTCAGTGTTTCAAAAACCCACTACTTCAATATGTATTTGCTGCAGGTACTTTGTTATACAAGAGTGCTCAGGGCCTTCCAGGCCTTCAGAGATGTCCAAACATATCAGCATTTTAAATGTTGGCCTTTAATCTCTTTCATCGTCAGCCCCCACAGCTGCGTGTGTTTGTTTAGTAAGTGGCAGGTGAATTAACCAATCACATTTTGACTTATAATGGGTGGGACCAAAAATCACTGCTCTAGGCCTTCCTGGGGGCTCGAGGCCAGAGCTACCTCACAGGGGAAATCGTCATCGGCCTTTAGAATAGGTGCGTTCACTGTCTTCACTCAACCCTCCCGGGGTGAAAACTCAACAGACCATTAAGGGGACACTTCCATTTTGTAGGCAGCACAAACTAATGAAAACAAGCATACCCCGAGCCCCCAAGCTGGGACGTGAAAAAATTGTTTTTATGTTGGAAGAAGTGAAGAAGAAGTTGCCTGTTTGCACTGGACTTCACGTGACAATATTCTCAACTTAGAATATTTTTATGAAAAACTCTTTCAAAGCTTTTGATCCATGGACCCTTACAGACTAAAGTTGAGTTGAGTCATTATATTTGTACAGTCTGACGATCAAATCAGGTGATTCTATTACATACAAGTATATTTTACTTGAATCTCTTACCTTCTTCTCCAGTCAGGATCGCCAGCATCTTTTCAAAAAAAATTATTTTCATGGCTCATGTCCTGGAGTGGACACACACTCCCATACAGTGAGTGAGCTGAACAACAACACAAATCTGAACAGTGGAATAAGGAATACAATGATAAGATTTGTGTGGTGTGAGAAGCAGAGCACTTTAGCATGTTAGCATGTTAAAGAGTTAAACCTGGAATTTACTGATTTTTGGCCACTCTGAAACAGACTATATATAATTATAATGTATTAACTGCAGATTTACACATCCAGCAGTTATGGAGCAATATTAGCAGCCACCTGAAGTTGTGTTTGTGATCACTTTTTTTCATTTTAGCTCTGATTTTTTGTTGCGACTAACTCCTGAGGTTGGCGAGTAGATGAATGTTTTTGGTCACTATGACAGCGGTGACAGTGAACAAAAACAGTTATATTTATATAACAGCTAAAAGAGGATATAAAGCTCTGTAGGAATGTGAGGAATTGTACGATCGGATGATAATTCCCTGTAGGTTCATGACCATGAGTGACAACTATATTATTCATGTAGTCATATGATCCATTGTTATTGTAAAAATATTTATAATAGTAACTTTAAAGTCTGGTGTTAAATGTATAATATCTAGTCTTTACACACTCTATCTGGCAGCAGTTGTTTCAAATTTTGCTTCCAGAGAACAAGGTCTCAGTTCAGAACTGCTGCTTCAATATGGCACCTGTGCTGCTGTTTGTCCTGAGGTCTGGTCCTGCTGGACTAGACCTGAATGGCTCTATATCTTCAGCTCCAGGAAGCTGTCTGATCTGAAGCCATGGATCAATCTGGCTGACTTCAGCACATCTAAACGGGGCACAAAAATTCACTCCACACACTGTCTCCCCTCTCCTGACAAAACTGCAAGTGACGCCTGAAGATATGAGAAAAGCTGCAAAAGGGAAGTTCATTTTGTGTCCTAAGGTGTGAATGTGATGGTAGCCCTAAGGCTCAGAGGCAAATTGTGTGGGGTCTGTCCTTTGAAAACCCCAACACACACAGCCCTGCTCTCACTGTCTCTTCTATCAGCAGACCTCAGCTGTGTCTAAAGGATGAGAGTTGGAAAAACACCAGGGACTCCTGTGGCTACCTGCTGTTTCCGTAGAAACACAGCCTGCATGGCAGCTCTACCTCAGCACAGCTGGAGGTTTGTGTTTGTGTTTGTGTGTGTGTGTGTGTGTGTGTGTGTGTGTGTGCTCTCAGCTGCCTTTGTAGGTACACTGTAACAGCCATTAGCTTTTTCATTTTAGGGAATTCATGTATATAAAATGGGAGAAAGGGCAAAGGGAAAATTGCATGTGTTGGATTCGGAGATGGAGTGAGGCACCTGGAAGTGGGAACTGTTAGGAGAGACATCAAATAATCTCTGCATGGATGAGAATCATTGTTTTCTGACTCACAGCAAAATACCCAGACAGTCCAGGGTGTGGTGGATATTTAAACCTTTGAACCCTGGGCTGTTTTTGCTCAGTTTCCACATTTCACATCATGTTTGTTTTGATACTTTTTCTGAAGACAAAAAAAAGTTTTATGCAATTCAGAATTGTTGTGTTGTGTCCAGAGGTTTCAACACACAGTAAAAATCTGTATATGAACCAATTGAGTGTCATTGCTCCAGGGATATATGAATCAACAAAAAAAAGTTTTCCCATCATTTCTTTACAGAAATATCGCTCCTTTTTGCAGCAGGTCACTGTGCAGCAAACAAAGTCACTCAAGTAATATATTCCCTTTGTACACACACACACACACACACACACACACACACACACAGGCTGACATGCAAGCGTGCACACACCTGCAGATAGTGAAAGGTCCTCTCCTTCAGCTTGCTCTCCACAGGCACAAGGGCTTTGTTGTAGCCTCCTCCCCCTCTGGTGGAAGGGTACACCTCCCTTGCCTGACTCACTGTCATGGCTGACCAGGTGCTCCTCTTCAGGGAGTGGCCGTGGTGCCCGTGGTGTCCCCCTCCTTCACTCCCAGCGAGAGCCATTGTGGTACAGGCCATGCACTCCCCTGGCCCCGGCCCTCCGCTGCGCTCCTTGGGCTTCTTCATGGTGAGCTCCTGGATGGCAGCATCCAGACTTTCGTGTCCGCTGGGATACCCCCGTCTGCCCCCGCTCACCAGGAAGCTGCTGTCGCTGTCCAGGTTGTCGTCAGAGCTCCACCAGCCTGCTGTCCTGCTGCGGTGGCGTCTGCCTGACTCGTGCCGTGAGTCTCCGCTCTTGCTACGCTCTCGAGACTTGCTCCTCCTGGTGGACCGAGACTGGTGGCCTGAGTAGTGACCTCCACTTTCCTCCCCTCCGCTCCTGTGGCCTCCTCCTCTTTCGCCACGGTAGTCCCCACCTCCTCTTGTCCCGTTGTATTCCCGTTTGGATGGTGCCTCCAGGGAATGGGACTTGGCAAAGAGGCGCTGCACAGAGTTGACTAGGTGACGGATGCGAGAGGGGCTTTCGCTGCGTTGCTCAGCACCCCCGCTAGCAGTGTGCTGGTACTGCAGCGTGTGGAAGCCATCAGGATGAAAGGGCACCTGCTTCTCGAACTGGTCCATCAGGTTTGGGGGAATGCGGTGCATCTTCCCTCCGTGGCCTGAGGACAGGCACTCCTCGCAAGAATCAAACGACTGGAGAGCCGGGTGCTGGCTGGGGTGGGAACGAGGGAACGTGCCAGAATGGGAGTGGGAGTGGGAGTGGGAATGGTGCCTCTCCAGCGCCAGAGCCTCTGCCGGACCTCCCGGAGGGTAATAGTGGCCGTCGCTGTGACCCTGGTAGTAGTCTCTGCCCGGGCCATCACAGTCCTCAGGCGTGCAGTGGCAGGGGCCTCCTCCGCCACCACCGGAGGAATGTTGGGACATGCTACGGCTGACATGGTACCCTTTCATAGGCGCCGGGGCGTGGTGGGCCGTCCGGGCCGAAAGGGGGCGCTGTGGGCGTGACAGGGCTGCACCAGTCTCACCTGGAGGCACAAAAGGAGCGACCATTTAAATTCGGTATCTCAGGAACTAGAAGTGAACACAATGTGTTTATGTAAATATTCATCTTTATCAAATAATTAAATCTAGTGCTCAGTCTTGCAATCAGTAACATTTTACTGTCTCATTACACAGAATAACCATAAGTCACTCTACCTCAGTAGCTTTAGATCTCAAGCTTTCTAAACAGGCAAAATCACATAATGTTCAGATGAGAATACGCATGATTTGTCCGAAGGGCAAAAATGTGAAAACAGCAGTATAATACTTTAAAGATGTGGTTCGGAGTACAGGTATAAATAACTTATTTGATGTTCTTGTACTGTTCATGTCTGTGTGAGACACAAAGTTGGGGGGGTTCAGTGGAGAGTAATTCACCATATGACTTACAAATGAATCACAACAGAAAGAAATAGACTTTGTAGATTGATGTCCAGATTGTTTTCTCTCCTCTATCAAGTGGCCCGATAAATTGAAAGTGAAAACAGTGGGGTTTTTTTCTGTTTCTTATTAACATTTTATTGATGTTGCTCTTCATTTTTTACCCAACCAGAGACAAACAGCGCAATAGTGAGCATTCATTCTGCAGGCTACAATAAGCTCCTCTTCTCATTCATCTCAGAGGCTCCTGGGCTGATAAATCAAGAATATTAGCCTTTCTTTCCCTCTCTTCAGTTTCTTCCTTGCTCTTCCATGCTATCTGCGCTATCAATTACTGAGCGATTTCACCATTTGAGGAGCAGCTGAACAAAACCACGATTCACAATATCCAGGTGACCGGGCAGAAACCAACCCCGCTGAAGCCTCGTGCTAGAGAGGATGGGATCTTCTCCACAAAACAAATGCAGGAAATGAAATCAATACACCTTGCCAAGATCGTGGAACAATGTAAACCATATCACCCACACACTCTGGTTTCTGTAAGTAAAAGTAAACAGAATGGAAAGAGGATAAAACCCATCTTTGTATTGCCTTTTCAGCACATGGATAACAACTGAGATTACACTCCAAATGTGGTAATCATGTATTTTATTGGACTGGCATTAATTGCTGCTGCTATAATCACATCCTCTATTAACCACGTTCTCCACTAACTATATAATGAATCACAGGCACACAGCCTGTTTATAATGCACACGATTTGATTAAATTGAGATGAAATTACTCGATGAAAGCCAGAATCGAGCTGCTCGCCTGGATGGGATTGTCTGAGCTCCTGTGAGTGTGTTTGTGCTCGTCTTTGCCGGCTTTCACACAGAGATGAGAGATAGGGGACAGATGCTGGGATAATCATTAAATAGAGCGTGGCCTGTTTGCCTTGATTGGCTGAATGAGAGCCGCCACCCAAGAAGCTCCCCCACATCCAGCCGTGTCATTGGTGTAGCCGTGACGACGGCCCTCTCCAAGTCAGCATCCCACCGTGGACAGATTTCAGACAGCCGTGGAACCTGGATAGACCGGGCCGCCTCATATTGACTATGTGTGTGAGTGTGTATGTGTGGAGTGTTACTGCAAAAAATATCCATGGTACCCATGGCCATATTTATGGAGACAAAGTGCCGCAACAAATCTGTTTTTATTTTTGTTGTTTTTTTCTCTAATGTTTGCTTGTATTTTGAAATATTGGCAAAGTTTAAACAGCAAATATGGCTTTGATGCAACTGCTGACATGTTTTTTGTTTTTATTCTTTATTATCACTTTTGTAAGATTTCACAAGCCAAAACATTTGCGAGCCACTGGTTACCTCCACCAAGGATATGTTTTCATCTGTTTGTTGGTTTCTTTATTTATTTGTCAGCAGGATTACGCGAAAGGTACTGTGCCGATTTGCACCAAACTTATTGGAGGGATGGAGCATGGGCCAAGGAAGGACATATTTCATTTTGGTGTGGATCTAGTTAAAGGGTTGGATCCAGGAATTTTTTTTATCACTTCCCTTAACATTGAAGATTTTTCTACATTTTCATCAATATTTGGCTTTGGTGGAGGTCGGCGCTCTACTGAGCGCCATCCTCGTTTTCACAATGATCCAGTCTGAAGTAAGAATGCTATATCAAATAGCTCATTGAGACAGATATTTTTTGCAGCGTGTCATACTTGCATGTGTGTGTGTGTGTGTGTGTGTGTGTGTGTGTGTGTCTGTTTATGAATAGACAGCAAAGTGAGCAGTGCTGCTCTGCCTGGAGGAGTAAATTAAACCATGTTCTGTTTATTATGAAGTCTTTGGCTTTGGAGAGACGCTGCTGGCTAGGAGCTGTCAATCACAGTGCCACGCACACACCTGTCTGAGCGTGTGGTTGTGTGTGCACGCGCTTAAAAGACACTCATACGCCACAGAGAGAAAAGATAGAGGTAGAAAAGGTGCCGCTGAACGTTAGCTCTCGGTCTTTCCTTATTTCCTTCTCTCTATCCATCCCTCCACACGTCTCCCTCTCCTCTCAGTCTCTCCTCCTGACCTACTTCTATCCATCCTCCAGTCATGTCTCTCTCTCCCTGTGCTCTCCTCCTTTCTTTGTTTCTTTTTCTAACCTGTCAGTCCATCTGGCTTGCTGCCAGTCAGCGCTTCTCTGTGTTGAGTTAATTACAAAGTTTGTTTCCATTTCTCATCTCTTGGCCTCGACTGATCTATCTGTCATCCGTCAGTGTTCTCTCTTCTTCATTTCTTGTTAGATAATTGAGGTATTAGAGCATTATGCACACACACATTTTATACACCAAACAGACTTTCAAGGTGCTTCTTTTGTTCTCTCTCAGCCTCCTCTTCTTCTGTGTTTTCTGTTCTTCAAATTCATATCTGAATGTACTGCCACTATTCAATTTGACCCTACCTGCTTGCCATCCCTTTGTATCCTGCATATTATTCTTTTCTTTCTATATTTCCATTACTCTTTGGACCCCCCCACCCCACCCTCTCTCTCTCTCTCTTTCTCTCTTTGCGTAGGCAGAAATATTCAGTAGCTGCTCAGTAGGGAGTTAGAGCTGTACAACATGCTGTCATTGTTTAACATTGCTTGGCATCAACATGATTGTTACAGAGGCTTCAGTCTGGAGCGGTTTCATTTTAAATATTCATGTGATCATGGCAGCTGCTCTGACCCACTTTACTAACAGCTGGGTCTGCCCGCTCTCTGCTGTCTCTGCTCTCTCGAGTTGTAGGTCAAAGATTTGTTTCACATCAATGAAATACTGTAAATCCAACCCCTGAAATACTTGTAATGATGTCAGATTTTAAGGATTTAGGTTTTGTAGAAAGACACACTTTAAAGCGATAGTTCGGTTTATTTAATGTGGGGTTGTGTGAGGTACTTATACATAGTCAGTGTATTTCATGCAGTAGATTCAGATCGGTGTCTCCGCAGTTTGGAGAGGTAGCAAGGAGTACGACGCATTGCTGTGGATGAGGCTAGCCGCAAAAATATGTTTTAGCCACCTTGAAAAAAGTGTTCTCAGAAACAACTTATATCAGTTGAAGTGTACGCAATAGTTTGAATATTTTCACCGCTTTATCTTGCACAATGTATCATTATGCTGCAGATCAGCTGTTATTACACTTATTTAATTTCTTGCAGAGTTTGATGAGAAGATTGATACCACTCTCATGTCTGTCCAGTAAATATAAAACTGACCAGCAATCACTTAGCTTAGCTTAGCTTAGTTTAGCATAAAGACTGGAAACAGGTCCTGCCAGCACCTCTGAAGCTCACCAGTGTAGATGTTATATCTTGTGTGTTTAATTTGCACAGAAACCAATTTGTAAAAACAACATGTTTTAGGGGAGGTTATGTGCTAACTTCCACGACCCATTTTAACACTTCAGTTCTGGTTTGGATGCTAAGTGCTAAACTAACTAGCTTCATAGTTAGCGTACAGACACAAATAGGCATTGATCTTCTTGTCTAACGCTCAAGAAGAAAATGAATAAATTTTATCAAATTTTTACGACAATGTCTAACTATTCCATGAAAATATTTTTCTTTTTTTTCTTTTTTTACCAGACAGTAATGGGAGAAAATAGCAGACAATCATTTGGACAAGACAGCCACAGTCTTGGCTTTTTACTGAAATGGGCCAACGCTGCGTGGCCGTGGGTATTGTGTGCCTGAACACCGGCTTTGTTTGACAGTCGATACAATGAACCAAGCTACAGCGTGGTCAGGGGCAGATATGTCGACTCATTTAAGAATACGAGAAGGTGAACTGCACATAGGACTTATGGAATTGTAGTCAAACAATGGGAAAGTTTTCATTAGTCTGGTATCTGCCCATATGTGCCAGTGCAGTCGACTTCAAAGATGCTGTTAACCACTGGAGCTCTGCACATCCATAATGGTGTGTGGGGTAGACAATAGTGAAATGTATAAATATGGGAATGGGAAATAATAGAGGATTGGCTCGGCTGTGTGTTGGCGTGCACTTCCATCTTTGCCAGCCAGAGAGACATGCATGCTGGGAATCTGGCAGGAGGACTGATTTGTTCTTCTCAGCTTTTAGCCATGAATGATCTATTTTCATTTTTTCCACTGTCTTTCTCTTATATGCACAGACAGCACACACACACACGTGCACACACACACTTCTCTGGCAGCCGGTCGACTGCCGTGGCTAACCCATCATGATCCTGAAAGAATCAAGGATGATGGGAAAGATGGAACATTTCAAGGGTGACCTGTGAAAGAGGACCTGTAAAATGTAAGTGCAGCTGGGTGGCTGCAGCTCATCAGCTCTGTGCATACGGAGAGGGAGGCCAACGTGGAAGAAGTGAAACGAAATGTGAGGAAAGGAAGAAAATATAATGGCTAAGGTTGTGTTTTTTTGAAATGCAAGGCATCTATTGGGCTGGTACATACTTTCTTATCTGTTGGATGAAGACATAGCAACAGACTTTCAGGTGGAAATTGGCAGAAGTTAA